GTATATACAAGAGTCTTTAGTTGAGTGTGAATACCAAGAAAGTACAAGTGATGAGTGAGTTATTCCATGGTATACCACGAGAGAGCGTTGCATAACTATTTTATACCATGACATAGATAATACACTGGCCAACACAATCAATGCCACGTACGCATGGTGCATGATGGGAAGGTTGAATGTAATATGGTGAATTATACAATAACCTAAGTTATTCTCGCATTTTGATTGGTTCTCACCTATGATCTATTAGAGGGCAGATGCACGACTGACGCCATCATTTCAAAGTTTTTCCATCTGTGTTTAAAATGGTGGAAAGTTTTGAGAATTTAGATACTATTTTACATGACTGGGGAAAGATAAAGTACAAAAAAGTCTTGTCGAGGCACTGAACAGGTATGAGAGTCTGGAAGAAGAAAGAAAAAGCCGTGTCTTTTCTAGAAAATGACTCGGAAAAAATACTCGAGCAGTCTCAGTCGGCACTAAACCAAACCCAAAATTGTTCTTGAAATTACTTTAAGGTAAGAAACCATTGCTTTGTCTCGAATTTAACAAAACCAATAAGCAAAATGTTTATGTCACATCAGTGACACACTTGGCTATCACCTCCTGTGCCACTTATTTGTTCTTACCACATTTTGACGTCATCTGTGATCTATTACTGAACAGACGCATGGCAACATGGAATCTCTTTGTTAAATATACAACACCCATTCTGATTGGCTCTATTTTCTAGATGACATGGTATACATTGTCATTCAGATTGGTGATAAGAGTGTGGGAAATGACCAACTAAAGAAGATAATTTGTAGAGATGCGAACCTGAAAAAAATTGAAAACTGAGAGATTATGTTTGTCTTCTCTACCCTAAAAAAATGTTGAAATAGAGCTTTGCCGATTCAGCCACAAAAAAATGTGTCAAATGTTAAAAAGAAAAGGGATCATGTGTACTAAATGCATCTGCGGTTGAGTGTCGATCAATACCCTTTATTGAAAACCTTAATCGACACCTCCGGTGACACTTCATCAACACTCGATCACTTGTCAACAGTCAGTCAGTTAACTTTATTGTACTGTTGAATAACGTAATTATATGGTAATATCTGCTTTACTGTGCATTTGCACACATGAAGTTCAAACTGACCAGATACATGTAATTAAGTAAATAATGTTTGAAGGTTAGTGGAATGCGGTTTAACACTGACTGTGCTGTAGGACCTTCTCATACTTTAGTTAAATTTATGGCATTCTGTGTTCATAGAGCTTCATGAAATGTTTAGTAAAAATATCTTTGTTTCACATGAAAATGAAATTAAACTCATAAATTTCAGGTATTGTGGAGGCACGGTGGCCTCATGGTTAGTGCACTCATTTCTGGATTGAGCAGTCTGGATTCGGGCCCTGGCCAGGGAGATTGGGTTGTGTTCTTGGGCAAGACACTTTACTCTCACAGTACCTCTCTTCACCCAGGTGTACAAATGGGTAACAGCAAATTTAATGCTGGGGTTAAACCTGTGATGGATCAGCATCCCCTCCAGGGGGAGAAGAAATACTCTTAGTCACTTCATGCTACATGTACACAACCCCGGATAAACTCGGGCCTGATGAGCCATTTGGCTCGTATACAGACTTAACTTACCTTTTACCACAATGTAGAAAGTATTGTTGCTGGGTCCAATCTTTGCCATAAGTTTGATGTTCTCCAACTTAGTTTCAAATTAAGTGCTCTTGATGTTTTCCACACTCAACCTTGCAAGCTAGGTGAAACATTTTGGACTACTGACCATTTCAGAAGGATGATAATCATTATAAATATATGTTATACATTTGTCTGTGAGTACCACACTAGGAACATTTGAGATTCATGTATTACTGCAGACTTAACAGTGGGCTGGTTTTTACATCGACTAGGTTAGGGGATTTACTTGACTTTTATTTGTGACCATTTTGACACACACTTGTTTTTAAACCAGGGAGAAGTGGTCAGAGCTTTTGATGCTGGTGAACTGTACAATTATCAGTGAAAAGAGGAATGATGATATGATTGCATTCCTTCTGAGGTAAGATGTGACAAAACTGTCCTGCGTGAAAAGCATTTTCTTGTTCAAAGTTCTTATTCTAAGGTCATGATCAGTAGTCCTTCCCACTGACAGAGCTGTTCAAGATGAGGAGTCCCGCAATTTTCTGATCGACATTGCATGATGGGCTGGAAGTGGCAGTTGGAACTCATCCATTTGCCAGAAACATGGTTAAGTGTCGTGATACTTAATATGTCAACACAGGGTTAAAAACAAAATTGAACTCCAGCTTGCCCTTCAGGCCAGCAGCTCCCAAATTTTGTTTGTCCTCAGCAAGTCTTACCGGTAGTTTCCTTTATTGCAATTTAGCTGGATGACCTGCCTGGACCCTTGCCCATCAGGCAAGTGAGAGTGAAACTAATTAGTAGCTTGCCCAGCAGGAAAATCTTCTTGTTCCAAATGACTGGACAGCTGTTTTTTTTCAAGCCCTACAGGTCAACAATAATGTAGTTTGTATGAGAAGTTCACTCAGAATTGACTTTGAAGTGACTTTTGACATAGTTTTGTTACAAAATCGTTGTAAAAATTGACTCCTTGTTTGTAAAGAGAACATTCTTGAAAAACCTGCTCAAGGTGCCTTAATTCATTCAGTTTAATCTTGCAACAAATTATTGATAATAATCTTCTAATCTTTAGTGAGAGCAGCATGTTTGTGTCCCGAGAACGTCTTATCCTGAAGACTTGCGGCCAAACAACACTCTTACATTGCATCAAGCCACTGTTGGAGTTGGCTAAAGTGGAGTGTGGATTGACAGAGGTGCAGGTAGGGATGCAATTGATGTAGAATCTTTCTTTTGCAGTCCAGAGCATACATGTATCTTGGATATCTGATCTCTTAATGGCAAACTTTGACATGAATGAAATTTTACATAGATTGGGCTCTACACACTAATAATTAGCATATTTTATAATTTTGCAAAGGAAGAAAGAGAAAAATTATGTATGTGAACTAAGGTTGTAATGTTTGTGATGAAAGGAAGCTATTACGTAGATATGATTTTGTGTCTAAATTAGCTCTAGACATTTTTCTGAGTACTGCTAGATGACTGTCAAAAAGGAAATAGTTGGTTTTTAAATGTTTCTTTGGTTGTTAATGACGGAAAGCTACATGCTGGTAATTAAATCACAACATTGCTCCTGTGATGTTACAATATTAATGGAGTGCTCATTAATTCCACAGGATTTCTTCTACTCACGTATGAATTACCAAGAGCCCAGCCTTCAACCCGTGCCTCATCAAACATTCCAACAAGAGGTCTGACATGATTCAGTTCTCTAAGTAAATGTACTCAGTGGGTCCAGGGGACACTTGTTAAAAAATTGGGTGGGGTGTGCTGTTGGGCATTAAATTGCCCACTAGTTAATTTCTTAGAATTGAGTTGTTGCTTAAGATGAAGAATGCGAGTTTTTGACATTTTGTTTGCAGTGTTTTAATTATTTTGGTAGACTGGTTTCTCTAATTTACATGTACTTAGTAATACCCATTACAAACATTTGATTCATTAAATAATTTCCCTCCCATACACGCACAACATCATCATCATCATCAGTAGGGGCATAAGGTGCTGTCATACATGTACATGGCATTGATAAAATTATCGGTATCAAATAAGTTCAATGGTTGCTCATACATATAAGTGATAGCTTAACAAAGGTACTAAGTAAACAGTTTTTGTGCAAACTTTCAACTTGTTTTATATCCTTTAACTTTTTAGGTTAAGTGGCTGGATCAGTTATTTTCAGGTAAGATGCATGTACCCTTTATCCAATTCAAACCCATTGTAATGCATAGTCTGCAAATTTGAGGAAGCTTTGGATATGCACCTCTTTAGTTGAGCAATGAGAGTAAAATAATGTTCACATGTGTGAAATACCTAATTGCTATTTTTTTTCTAAGAGGGCACAGTAATGAGTCCTACAATCTGAATTCTGAATGGTTCTTAGCATGGTCTGTATTTTCCTATCTCTGACCACGGTCATGGTAATGTGTGCATGATGTGTGTGTTGTAAAAGTTGAAAGTGATTTGAGATTTACTGGCGTAGGGTCGGTCCCTATGGTGAAAAACTGTGACCTCTGACTTGAGAATGCTGCCCAAGGCAGCAGGTTGATGGCAACATTTTCAAGACCTTGGTCACTATACGGACTGACCCTCAGACAGCAAATCACATATACACCATTAGTTTGTAAACGAGCATGTACATACCGATAACTGTTGAAATTTATTTTTTTTGTGTGTTATTGTTTTAGATGGAGCATGTTATGCTCTTGGAAGATTGAATGGTTCTGACACCTGGTAAGCTCTCAAGGCTGGCAACAGGCAACAACTCACTTTGTGCTGATTTTGATTCACACAACTCTAAAAGCTAATTAAGAATTAATTAGTTGGGCTTATTTCATTGGCTGCTTCTGATACACCCCCATTAAAATATTGGATACATGTTGCATTGTATGTTCTTATATTTTCCTGTTACTTTAACTTAATCTTGCTACAAGTATTTTCAGGAACCTGATTTACTGTTTTTTAGCCAACTTTGTTATATTTATTGTCATTAAAAAAAAAAACAATAAATGAATTTTAAAGTCAAAGTAATTGAAATGAACACAAAGATCATTATTATGGTGTAATATCTTTTAGTTGAAGTTGTTTATTTAGTCCTAAATGATTACCGGTATTAAGGTTTGTTTTCATGCAAATCAAACTCAGCTTCATACGAAAGGTTTTGCACAATGATTCGTTTTGAAACAGAGGCGCGATGTAACTCGAAAATGGCCTTGGCTGTTGTAAACTAGAATATACTGGTTTGTTGTCTCAGCATGTTGTAAATGATAAATGCCATATTGTTTCCCAGGTATCTGTATACCCTTCACAACATTCTGCCAGGAGTTACTCAGCCAGACCAGACATTGGAGATATCCTTCAGAACAACAGTATTTTAGTTAAAGATTATAAAATATAGTACTGCACCTAGGATGCATATCGGTTTTTTTCTCCAAGTTGTCAGCTAGGCAAGTATTGCATGTAACTATCATCACTATGACTTACTGACTTCATTATGAATCTTTAACCTGCACACATTTTGATGCTCGATCTTGATAGAGAAGTCATGAACAAGTTCTACAAGACAACATCTTCTGATGCAGATGAAGTGACTCAAGTAAGCTAGTAGTTATAATTAATAATGCTCATACGAGTGATTAACAAAATCGGACGACAGCGAAGCGGGAGTCTGATTTGTTAATCACGAGTATGATTACAGACTGAATTGGACAACGCGAAGGCCTGTTACCAATTAATCAAAACTATGACAAAATTCGAGAATTGAACAAACCATTGATTGAGCGCTGAACGATTAAACCTCGTTATGAATGCTGAAAAACACAGCAGTTTACTCAACAAAGTGCACTGCAACAGCGTGTGCAAAATGATGCGTACTGTCCAATTACAAGCATGACGCCTACACTGTCCAATTAATGTTCAAATTGGGCTGCTGATAGCCAATCACGTACGAGAATTTTGTTATAGTTTTGATTAATTAATTAATTGACCGATTAATTATTTAATTAATAATATATTTTTAATAAAAATAGTTCTTTGTGCATAAGTTTTCTTCTGCTTCATTGTTTCATGTTATTGTGCCTATGAAATTAGATTGAGGTTATCTGCCAAGTCTTGGTTTGAGGCACATACTAGAATGCAAAGTCCATATTCTTTAGGCCTAAAGAGGAGCCTAATCAGTCATTTATCTGCAAGAGGACCTCTCATATTAATTTTTTCTGTTTTTGTCTAGGTTACAGGTATTAGTGGCTTTCTTCCTGGTGCAGTGATTGATGCTGCTTTGTTTGATCCCTGTGGCTATTCAGCTAATGGCCTTCTTGATGTAAGTAAATCAGTTTACTACAAGTCTTCCAACTGCTGTGAAACCGTCCATTAGTAAACCTTTGGGACTAGGAAAAGTTTCCTCATAGGAGAAGTGTCTGCTCATTAATATCAGTAATTGTGAAGAACAGCTCTGGAAAAACCTGTTGGCTGTCTGTTGGTCAACTGTTGGCTATCTGTCAGCCATCTGTCAGCTGACTGTTGGCCGTTTGTCAGTCAACTGTCAGCCAACTGTTGTCCAGCAGACGGCCCACAGGTTTTGGCCAAAACACAGACCAACAGTCAGCTGACAGATTGCCAACAGCCAGTGATCTGTCGGTAAGATGTCGGTAATGTGTCGGTAATATTTAATGTACATGTAATGTTTGCACATGGTTGGACCATAACTAAGCGACCATGCACTATAGTCTGGTACTTACATGTATAGGCGTCTGTATAGCAGAGATGTGACTATATTAACTACAACAACTGCAAACACCTCAAAGTTAAATTGGTTATATTTAGTTTTAATTGATCATTGCTCAGGCTATCTTTGTTGCATCAAAATGCTTGGGATGTTTAGCTTTGTCTTTGACTGTGAAATGGTGTAGTCAGGAGACTACTGTCAGTGTGGAGCTCTATCGATCATGGTGATCTTCACCTGAACGTGTGATGATTTACTTGAGTCATCGGAGAAAAAGTGTCTTCTGGCATCTACTGGCACATTTTCAGTAAATGCATAGTTTAAATAGTACCATGTATAGTACGTTTTCCCTACTCTGGCAACCAACTAACTCCTCTCTGTGGCAACTGATAATTTGATTGTCATGGATGTCATAAGGTTATTGAAAAGATCTCCAGCTATTAAATTATTTAAGTTTGGAGTATGTTTGTACATCATTTAGCATCTCACTTTTGAATATCTCACTTTGCCATGCACTTACTTACCACGCACCTAGAAACAAGAACCTGTACCAAAAAAGCAATGTGCACTTGTCATAATCCACTCACATTCCTGAAAAGACTTTTTTTAAGAGATGTAAATACCAGTAACATTTATTACTGAATGTAAACAGATGTTGGCATTAAAGAACAACAATGTTGCTGCTCCAGAGTGGTTCCCTGACTCAAAACACCTCCGGGTGAGAAGAGTCCTTTAATTATTACTGTCCCTTCCAATAACATGCGGACTCTAAAATTCAAAGCTCAACTGACAAATGCACTTTTCGCTATCATCAGTGAAATGTTGAGTGGCTCCTCCCAGCTTCCAACTACTGCCAAGCACACAGTAATGAAATTGTTGAGCACAGTTCGGACAACGAAACAGTGCTCAGCAGTAGTCGCAAGCTGGGAGCAGTGCCGAACATTTAATTGACGGTAGTGAAAAATGCATTCGTTGGTTGAGCTTTAAAGTTTGGAGTACACCTGTTATGGAAAGGTGCAGTAACTAAACCTAGATTTTTTTCTGTTCTTTTAATTTACACTGTGTTGAGTCAAACAAAGGACATAATAGTCCTCATAAGTCAACTGTTAGCCTTGCAAAGTGATTTTAATATCAACACAGCAAAACCTAGTTATTTATTACTGATTTAATATTAAAATACCACTTTGTTTACTTTGTGATTAATGAACAAAACAACCCGAGAGATTAGTCTTAAGTAATCCTTTAATACGATGAGTGTGCTATTAGTATTTAATAAAGTTTTAAAATTCTCTCACATGATCATGATATTCCTACTAAAACGTGCTTATTATTTTTATAAAAATATCCAAATTAAATGTGACTTTCTAAGCTAATGAAAAGGTTACCAAAACAACTATAAATTGTGTGTCGAACTTCAGTAGCGGTTACGAGGCAAGATGCTTTAGCCTAAAGGGGAATGAGACAGGACGTGGGTGTGGCATGCACAAGAAGACGCCTTCTTCCCTACTTGGCCACAGCCATGCTGCCCTTTTGTGTTCACAATGGTTAAACACTTGTCTAAGTGACCCTTAGAGAAAAAAACCGGCTGCCAGCAGTCTAACCTAATGTTAAGAATTCTCACAAACCATTTAGTATTTTAAAAACTCTTATTTCAGGGTCAGAAAAAACCCAAGACAGTTGGACAAGCATTGGTTGAAATTGTGTTCAATTAACTGCTCAACTTGGTTTCATGTGATAATTTAAAGTGCTGTCATTGTATATAACTGGCAAATGAAGGCATGGCCCATGGATCTATCATTTTCTTAGACTCACAAGTCTTGTTAATCTCCCACACAGGACAGTTACTTCAGTATTCACATAACACCTCAGGAAGAATGCTCATATGTCAGTTTTGAAACAAATGTTAAAGTGGTAAGTCAATTTATATGCATTTAATTAACTTGACGTGCTTTTACTGTAGACAATTTTTCATACAACTCATCTGACAATTCAGTTGTGCCATTGCATGGTAAGTTGCACAAGACATTGCCAAAATAAAATGCCCTCTAAAATAAACAGATACTCAATGTTTTCAGTGCAGTAAACATTGCAAAAAGTAGCAATACTTGCTGCAACAAAATTGTTGTAAGATATGATCACGTCAAGGGCAGTTATGTCCAGGCAATTTTCCAATTCATGCTACTTAAATAAATAAATTACTGTATGATATGTAAGTGCAATTTAGCAAATGTGTTGGCTTAAAATTCTTTGGACAGTTGCTTCAGGGAGTTAAACTCTAGGCATTGTAACATTGATAATTCTTACAACTACTGTACAGTTTAAAACAATGTTGTGTTTCTCGGTAGACCTGTTATAAAGAACTGATTAGCAAGGTCCTTGATGCTTTCAAGCCAGGAAGATTCTTCATGACTTTGTTTGCTAATGAGGTAAGTGCTGAAATTAAACACAGTTAAACATGGCAAATAAGATAAAGGTAAAAGTGAAGAACATCTCCCCCAAAATCTGTTGGTGAGATCATAGCTAAGTGCAGTTTTTATCAGTCTGTTGATATGCACAGTATTGGTGGGTCTTAACGTCTGTTAATTTAAAAAGCTGCAGCAAATTTGACAACTGTCTTGTTGCATTAGTTTACACAGTTGGTACACTGATGGTAAATAATTGTTGGCTGACTGTTGTCAGCTGTCAGGAACCAACAGTCTGACATGGGAGTTATTGCTCACCCACAGTAACTATAAGTGCTAGAAAATGAAGAGTAAGGCTTAGTTTAAACATTGAACTTTCCATCAGTTGAACTTAATTCTTATTTGGGATGACCCAATTACTTAGTAGGTTCAGTGATTGATACATAATGTGGAACTTTTTTTGAAATCTTATGCTTAATCCATTAATGACCAATCGTGCGCATAAGCAATAATAAAATTAGTAATTAAATCATTCATTTTCTGCAAACAAGAGTAAATAATATGACAAATCAACAACAAACAAACTTATTGCATAAAGAGGGTATCAGCTTTTCTTCAGTGTGTACGTTTCATCATTTTTTTTGTTTGCAATTTACATTGTACTTGTGTTTACCCAGGGTGCACCATGTGGTTTTTCTTACAAGACCTTCCAAGAAGGGTCCATTCCTGGCTACAAACGGAATGATCTTCAGTTGTCACAGATGAAGATGTACAACCTAACATATGGCCATTATGAAAAAATTAAAGAGAGCAAGATTAGCTAGCAACCTAGAGCTGAGGTGTTAAAAGTCAAATGATTTTCCGGCATGTGTGTTATTTATAGTGTTAATAATGGTGTTTAGTTCAATACGCCTTTATCATTGGTATCACAGTTGGTGTATAACAAGATTGTATTTAATGCAGTAAGGGACTTAGTTTTTCGCTTTTCAAAATTTTTATAATACTTTTAAAATTGCAAAATACATATTAAATTTGTGAAAATTTCACCCAATCTGGTTGTCTTCAGAAACTGTTTTTTTGTGACTGTAATTTTGACAATCTGAGTAGTAGTCAGTGAAAAACAGACTATTGCTGGATGAATACCAGAGATATTTATTTAGTCTATAAAATACTACAAAGTTGTGCTAAGGTTCAATCCATCTGTAGTCACATTTGGTCTGTTTCTACTCTAGATCAAAGATGAGTCCATAGTTTGTCTATTTTGTTGACTGAGGTCATTATGGATACCGTACCCAATTTCTAATGTGTGGCAATTTGTTTGCCCTTGTCAGTTTAGGAATGTCTGTTCTTATTTCCAAAAGTATAAGTCGCACCTAGCAATGCGGTCAATACAATAAGCAGTTAGTTCAAGTCAATTTGTGTCAGCAGTGTTCAGTAATGCAATTGCTGATATCACCTGTAGCTCATACTGTTCAGTACATCTCTAACTACTTGTCACTGTAAGTTACTCTCATTTAGACACAGCTTGCACTTTTTGATACATACATGTAGTCAAGCATAATAGCTACAATAACGTTTACATTCATATTACTGAATAACAACTGCATGGAGAAAGAAGCAGTAATGTAAACAGAGATAGTTAATGGAGCTTGCAAGCTTTGTTTTTCCCCTATTAATTTAATCTTTCAATATTTAAGAGGTCTATACTAGTTTTACTACTGTATGTGTGCATTCATCCTAAGTATGAGCTAACTTCACTGATCATCCTAGCTGTATAAAATAAAATCACATCAGTGAGCAATAAAGATTATCATCAATATCATTCAAGTTGTGTAGAATTTTTGTTAAGAGCTATATAATGGTGCCCTTCTTCTACTTGTCATAAGCACTGAAGTTTCAGGCAAATAAAATGAACAAAGCTAATTTTTATTACTAACAGCAAGTACACAACTCTTAACATTTTTGTGCATTTTTTCCTTTCTGTGAGGGCTCTTCAACTAAAACGTTAAAATTAGTCCTCTTAGAATGTGAAACCATCAACCATATAAGCACCAAAAAATGTTAAGTGTTCATGGCTTGCGTGTCGATGTAAACCCAGCCATACTTTATAAGAGTGATTCACATATTATTAATCCCTTGAGATGTATTATGAAGTAAGCTGTTGTGTGTTGGCAAACCTGTTTAAATAATGATTTGTTCAAATAATTGTTCAGGCTTCTACATGTCGATTTCCCTGAACAAGAAACTGTACACCAACATAGTGGTATGTACAGTAATGTAATAAAATTGTAAAATTCTAACAACGAGACTATAAAAGAACAAGCATGGTCTCTACTGTGCTGCAGTCGTTTTTTTTAAAATGTTACATTTGTGCTTAAGCCTATTGGCCACCTATTACTAGACTGAGTCTCTCAAGGAATCTATTGCAATGTTTTTCATTGTACTGTAACCTAACTATGCTTAAGATGAACACCTTTTACAGCCATTGGACACTTGATAGTCAGTAGTGTCTATTTAAAGAGAATTGATGGGATAAAAGTTTGGAAAACTTTTTTCCCTGAAATTTTTTCTACCTATTCCAAAATTATAAAACAAAAAATTTAAAATTAAAAAAAAATCGTCTTGTTATTGAAAAAATTCTGTAAACTTGTGAGGATTAAAACAATGCATTTTTTATAACTTTTAAGGCTGGTTTTCATTAAAAGCATATGGTACACATAAGAAGGACATTTGTTGACTTGTAGTAAACATAAACTGTGAGAAATGTTTTGTTCTTGTGCTCATTCTCAGGTCACGGTTTGCAGAAGCAAGCCTTTTAAAAACTGGTCATGCTGTAGAGAAAGATAATTATGTAGCATAGACTTTCACACAACTCTGCCACCAAGTTTTGTGCTTAATATGCTTATATCAAGTTTATGCTGGGTTATGCTAACTGCTAATGAAAACCAGCCTTACTGATGAAAACACTGTACAACAGGCATTGTTATGTTGAGGTACAACCACAATAGCTGGCACTACTGGTTGGTTGTCGTGGCACACCATAAGCACCATGAAGAGTAAAGCTTCCTGGACCACTGCTGTGTTCTGAGTCGAATGACAGATATTGCTCGTGACTCTCGCACAGTTTGTATGCCATTGTTTCAAAAGCCTCTTGTACATTAGTGCAGTCCTTGGCGCTTGTTTCTAGCCAACACATGGAATTTAATTCTGCAAATTCCTGCATGTAAGATTTAAAAAAAGTCACTTTATTTCTAAGAGAAATGAGAGAGGATCTAGATCTGCTTAATACTTTAAAGTCCACATCAACAGCAAATCCCATTCAACCAGAAATTTTGATACAGGGACAAATGGAGCAGAAATTTCTGGGAAAAGTTTCCAGAAAGTCTGAAAATTGTTGAAGTTGCAAAAAGGGAACCATCCAACCGAAAATTCTGGAAATTCTCAGAGGAAAGTCAAACGGGAAAAATTTCTAAAAATCTGGGGTAAACAGGTTTTAAGGATCTCTTTTTCGGATATTCCACCAGAAAATGCTGTTCCATGTATCAAAGAAAATAATTTACACCAGAATTTTTCATCGAATGAACCTCCCATTGATCTGGGTTTGAGTGCTGGCCAAGGTTTCTGTGTTGTGTTCTTGTGTAAGACACTATTAATATGACTATTGCATTCTCTCTCTCAGTTTGTCCTTGGGGAAGTGTATTAATTGGTACTGCAAATTAAAACCTGGGAATAACACCAAACTGTCTAATGAATTATCAGGCCAAACATTAAAAATGTGAATGGCAGCAATCAGTACTGAATTGATTACGACCAAGCTTCTCTAAGCACTGTTTAACTGGCATCTTATAGGCACACTCACCCGAATGTCAGCTTCATCCACTTCTCTTTTATCTTCCAAGTCACATTTGTTGGCCACAAGAATGGTAATTGTATCTGAGCCACTGATAGGAATTGAAAACGATCAATTCAGAACAAATTTACTACCAATAATTTTGACGTTTATTCAGTAGGTAAAATAACTGTTAGTAGCTGACACATATTTATTTCAACTAATTAAGCTGTCCCAGAGCTTTTAACCATTTTGCCCGTTTGATTGTATAAGATTACAAGAAAATATAATAAACAGAACAACTGGCATAGGTCAGCAAAATTTATAAATAAATATTTTGCTCCAAAGATTTTGGTCTTTTGTTTGGCACATTTTATTATTGGCTATTATTACAATGGGATCTTTTAATCTGAGATTTGTTTCACTATAAATATTTGAAAAAAATTTTAAGAAATGTCTTATTGTTCAATCCTGGCATTCCTTACATGTAAAAACTAGAAGTACTTTCTATTTATTTGTATTTTGTTTCTATTAATTAATGAGAAAATAATTTGTTAAAAAGATTTATTTTGCTCCCTTTCATAAACAGCGTCCAACCAAATCCTTACCTTTTGTGGTAAAACTCTTCTAACCAGAGATTTTTCACACTTTCAAATGATTTGTAAGACGTCAGAGAAAACACTACAAGTGCACCATTGGCACCCCTGTAATATGAATTGGTCAATCCATTTTGCCTGAATCTCTCCTCCCCTGCAGTGTCCCAGAGTTGTAGCTATAACAAACAAAAATCCAGTCAACAGAATTAATTAAAGTAATACTTGCAATATTAGCCAGACAAGTTAAGGCTTGGGAACTGAAGGCAAGCCATGTAAACTACAGCTAAGCAAGAAGAGATAACAAACAAGAAGGCTCATTATTTCATTACTGGAAAGGGAACTGTAATGCCTGAACCCCACTGCAATGAATACCATAAATCTTCGAATTAGCACCCAGGGGTGCTTATTCCAAATTTAGGAGAAGACAGGGGTGCTTATTCGAGGGGGGCGCTTATTTGATTTTTCCCAAATCGTGGCCT